TTTTTTTTTTTTTTTTTTTTTTTTTTTTTGCTATAGGGTGCATGTGCTCACCAGAAAGAAACAGAGAGACAGAAAGTAAGAAATCACTCCCCCGCCCCAGGGGGGCTGGCCATGCCGCAATCCCTTCTCCTCCATTCTCCTCTTGGGATCTTGGGCATGCACGCACACGCGCCCGGCGTGAGTTTAAGCCACTGGGTCCGAGACTTGAACCACAGTCAACTACATGCGAGTCCAGCAACATAGCTATCACACCAACTGCTGGTCCCAGATAAAATTTTTTTTAAAGAATTATTTTTTATTTAATTTTATTTATTCATCGATCTATTTTAATTTGACCAGAGAGAAATACACATAGAGAAAGAGAGAGAATAAATGAGAAACAAGCTACCAGGTCCGGGACTCGAATCATGGTTGGCCATGTGGTTATGTCCAGCATCCTAACCACCACGCCACCTGCTGGTCCCAAAATAAAATATTTAAAACAGGGCCTGAAACATAGTAAATGCTCTCAGATGGTAGCTACTATTACCAAAGGTGGGACTATGATTCCTATTTTTTATTCCTCAATCAACATGTGCCCTAAAGGCAATTGACCTACTTGATACTTAACAGAGCATTAAATAAAAGGAAACTAAATTTCATTCCTTATAACCAAAAGTTTATTATTTAGGAAGGCAGTTCTGCGATGGAGCTGCCACCATCACCTGTGAGTAATGCTTGCAACTATTGCATCATTCTGTCTGAGACTCTAAAGGTTCAAGTATCTTGGCATGTACAACTGCAGAACATCTCATCTATTTTGCTTTGGAAGTTAATTTTTTCTCTCCCTCCTACAAGGAAGAAAGAATACTCACAGATGAAAATATTTTTCCTTTTCACTGGTTTGTAAAGACCTATTTTTCAGTCTCATGATATAAATGTGTAAAGGAATATGTACAATTACTTACCCTCTTCTGCAAATAATCAGGAAAATGTACATTAGTAAAATTCAAACTATAATTCAAACTATAATTACCTTCTTCTTTTGTTCTTCCCCAGCCACTTATGAAACACTTTGTGTTTTGGTCCAGTTTTTGGAAAACATCAAAAGGTAGACAAATAGGTTGAATAAATTCATTATAGCTCACTGCCTTTTTTAAATGAAAAAGTGCAATATCATTTACAAAAGATTCCAAAATGAAATCTGGATGGATGATGATGGCTTTAATTTTTATCTTCTTAGTGTGTGGATGGCTCCCATTTATAGTATTAGTTCCAATCACAGCTCTCCACATTAAAGGATTTCTGGGGAAAAACATTAATTATAAGCTAAGTAAGTATTCTTTTTATTATTTTTTTAAATTATTTTTTAGGTCTTTGCCATAAGGCACGTGTACTCGCTAGAGACATTGAGAGGGAAAGTGAGAAATCAACCCTCCCTCTATTCTCCTCCTGGAATCTTGGGCACACATGCACAAGCAACTGGTGTGATTTTTCAACCTGCCAGCTTCAAGACTCTATAAACACGGTTGGCCTTGTGGAAATGCAGCTCCTGAACTGCTACACTACCTGCTGGCTCCACTACGTAAATATTCTTTTTTTTATTTTTAAGAATTATTTTATTTAACTTGTTTTCTTTATTTCTCTATTTTTATTTTTACCAGACAGGGACAGAGTGAGGAAGAGAGAGAGAGGGAAAATGAGAAAGCAAGCCACCAGGTCTGGGACTCAAACTGTGGTCGACCATGTGGGAGTCTAGCACCTTAACCACCATACCACCTGCCAGCTCCTAAGTAAATATTCTTAATCTCCAGCTAGTTTTTGTTTTTTTTATGTTACTAGTAAAAAAAAAAAATGTATTTTTATGTTACATGAAGTTTAAAGTAAACTAAAAAATAAACCAAGCAGGCCTGTGATCCTAGCTGACATGATGAGATGCTACCAAGGTTACCTGTCTGTTTTTCAGGAAAAAAAAAAAGAGAAAACTTTAAGAAAAACGTATTGGGACAATGAGATATTTAAAAAGAGAAGTAAAATTAGATCCCTGATACAACATTAAACACAAAAATAAACTCAAAGTGGGACCAGCAGTCAGCATAATGGCTATGTCTCTGGACTCCAATGTAGTCGACCACGGTTCGAGACCCAGACCGTCGATCACGGTTCAAGACCCAGACCTGGTGGCTTAAACTCATACGCCAGGCACATGTGCGTGCGTGCGTGCCCAAGATCCTGAGAGGAGAATGGAGGAGAAGGGATTGTGACATGGCCATTTCCCCTGGAGGGTAATTTCTCTGAGATCTGCTTCAAAATAATTGGAGGGGGTAGTTGATGAGAACTTAAGAAGCTGAGTGGTGGGACCAGCAGATGGCGTAACGGTTATGTCACTGAACTTCCACATAGTTGGCTGCAGTTCAGGTCCGGGACTTGGTGGCTTCAAACTCACACTGATCGTGTGTGTGCCCAAAATCCCGAGAGGAGAATGGAGGAGAAGGGATTGCAGGATGGCCACCCTCCTCGTGGGTGATTTCTCGGTTTCTGTCTCTCTGTGTCTCTCTCTGATGAGCACACGTGCCCTATAGCAAAAATCCCTCTAAAAAATCAAAATAAAACTGATTGATGGGTATCTGATAGTCCACTAAAATACCCTCTCTACTTTTAAAATGTTTTAAAATATTTATTAGAATACTTGGATGTTAACTTATTTAATTTTTAAAAATTAAACCAAAAAGAAAACATTTCTTTAAAATATATTTTAAAATTTATATTTTAAAGAATTTAAGAAAGAAAATCAGAAAGTATATTACATTGACATGAAAAAGGACTTTATAAAGCATGACACTAAGGTAAAAACAAGAACAACTAATGGATCTTGACAGTAAAGCACCAAGAAATTAACAGTTGTTATATCTGGAATTGAGTTCGGAAGGAGTTTTTCACTCTACACACAGTTTTGTTTTAATGATAGAGTGTGTGTGAGAGAAAGAAAATGAGTGAGAGAAAGATGCTTGATAAAGTCTCATTAAGCTGTGATTCCCTTTCCCCAGCCCTCAAGCTCTTCAGGATCCTGTGTGCATGTGTTTTCAAGGCAGCCCAGGAATCTGAACCTGTGGTTGGCCTTGGGGCTTTCAGTCTTACAGGGCATTACTCCTGTGCCATAGTGAGGATAAGACACTGTTGACAAATATTGAGATGCCTTCACCCTTCAGATTGGCAAAGTTTATGTGAGAGAGTGTGTGTTGATGATGACATTCAACATAGACAAGAGTTTAGAAGAACAAGGACTCTTATTGTAGAAAGTATAAATAGGTTGTGGGGCTGGCAGGTGGTGTAATGGTTAAGGGCGCTGGACTCCCACATGGCCAGCCACAGCTCAAGTCCCAGACCTGGCAGCCAGAAAATCATGCTGGCGCAATTGCCCAAAATCCTTAAGGGAGAATGAAGGAGAAGGAATCATAGTATGGCCATCCTCCCAGGGGCTCACTTCTCACTTTCCCCTTCTCTGTCTCTCTCTGGAGAGTGCATGTGCCCTATGTCAGAAACCTAAATATATATATATATACACACACATATATATATATACACATACACACACACACACACATACATTTGTGTATATACTTGACAAATTGTTTCTACTATCCCTGCTGGGGGGTGACTTCTCGCTTTCTTTCTCTCTGTCTCTGTCTTTCTGGTAAGCGCACGCACCCTATAGCAAAAAACTCTCAAAAAAAAAAAAAGAATAAATAAAGTAATAAATAAATAAATAGCTTTCTTTTTTAAAAAAAGTATAAATAGGTTGGCTTTTTGGCAACATGTATCAACAACCTAATCAACAACCTATGAAATCTGCATTGCATTTGACTGTAGTTCTGCTTCCTAACATTTATTTTAAGGGCATAAAAGATGAACACAGTGGGGCCAGCAGGTGGCGTGGTGGTGAAGGTGCTGGATCCCACATGGCAAACTCAATGAACAAAACGTACTTCGTTTAGACAATGTAGACAGAGAGACAGCGGTACATCCATACAATGGGATACTACTCAGTAATTAAAAAAAGATATACACAATAATATGCATGAATCTCAAATGCATTTCACTAATAAAAGAAGCCAGTGTCAAAGGATACATATTGTGTAATTCCATTTATATCACATCCTGGGAAAGGCAAAATCATAAGGGATAGAAAATAGATCAGTGGCTGCTAAGGGCTAGGAATAAGGATAGGAATTGACTGCAAAGGGTTATAAGGGAATTTAGAGTGTGAGAGCTCTTCTAAACCTGATGGTGGCAGTTATTCAATGTCTGTACACATGAAATTGCAGAGCACACCACTTTTAAAAGGTAAATTTTACTGCATATAAATTATGCTTCAATTTTAAAAGTAAAAACTGGGTAAATGGGAAAATTGAGAAAGAATAATAGGTCCAAAAGTTCCTTTCTGCCAGTGTGGGTTCGGACTGGCTGTAGAAAAAAGCCTCTGGTCCTAAGTTCTAAGATACCAATGCTCTTGCTCCACAACACGTTCTTTTTCAGTGCCAGCTTCACGCGGACTATTAATGTAACAACTTCTTTCCCGTTCCTAGAAGTCGTTCCCCTTTCCATGGGTACTTATAAACTCAGTTTCCTGTGCAAGGAAAAATCCCACTCTATTGTTAACGTGCCCTTGTTTAAGACGTGACCCAGATCCACAACTCTCTGGGACAGAGGTGGGCTCCTGAGAAAGGATGATTCGTTCATAAGTTGGGCAACAGTGATATCACCTAGAACTTTTAAAAAGCAAGGCTAAGCCGATCAGAAGGTTAATCATAGAAGTTGATGAAAACAAAGGAGTTAGGAATGGGAGCTAGAACTGGAAAATGATTATTTGGCACAAAGGACCATAATGGATCATATGTAAATTCATGTCATGGAGAAGGCTTTCACTCAGGGGAAAGCATCACAGAGATGCCCAACCATAAACAGCTCCAGCCCCAATACTTCTCCTCATGCGATGATCTGTATGCATATCAGAGCCCAAGGCTCTAAAAAGGGAGTAAAGAAGGGGACCAGCAGGTGGCGTGGTGGTTAAGGCACTGGACACTCCCACATGGCTGACTGCCATTTGAATACTGGACCTGGTAGCTTGCTTTCTCACTTTCCCTCCCTCTCTCTCTCTCTTTCTCTCTGTATATCTGTGGTCAGATTAAAATAAATGAATGAATAAATCAAATTAAATAATTCTTAAAAAAAAAAAAGAGTAAAGAATAAAGTTCTTAGAGGTTAAACCCATTTCCAGGAGGAAGAGTAGTACCAAGTGAAACATAGCAGCCAGGAAGCTGATAAAGGAGCTAGAATAACATTACAGATATGAAACAGAAAACTTTAATAACAGCATCCTTTTTGATAAAGCTATTTTAATGACATTTAAGGTCTTTTTTTTTTTTTTTTTTCTGACAACCTTGTGTTGTCAAAAGGGCCCTTCAAACCAGGAATCAACTTTTCAGCAGTGTCCAAACCACTATAGATCATAAAAGCTGACACGCTAATCTTTTTTTCTTTTTTTGGGAGGAGAGAGATTTTCACTATAGGGCACGTGCGCTCGCCAGAGAGAGACATAGAGACAGAAAGCGAGAAATCATCCCCCAGGGGGGATGGTCACGCCGCAATCCCCTCTCTTCCATTCTCCTCTCGGGATCTTGGGCACGCACGCACACACGCCCGGCGTGAGTTTTAAGCCACCGGGTCCGGGACGCGAACCACGGTTGACTACATGGGAGTCCAGCAACATAGCCATTACGCTAACTGCTGGTTCCCGTCGCTAATCTTTTTTTTTTAAAGGGTATTAATTCTTCCGTGAGCAAGGGAGACAGAGAGAAAGCCCCTCAACATGGTCTCAACACTGCAATGCATTCTCAGCTTTAACCAGTCCCAGGTCATGGGCACAGTCATACCTAGTGTACTCAGGGAGGTTTGTGGATGTAAACAAGAAACCCTCCCAGATAGGTCAGTCTTGCAGAGCATCACATTTTACCCCTGCACCACTATCCAGCTCCTTTCATCCAAATCTTGATGATAAAAGACAAGGAGAGAGAGGAGTGTTGTCTTAGAAATCAAGAAAAGATAGTTTCAAGGAGAGGATGTGGTCACCATGCTAAATGCTGTAGCGATCAAATAGGATTGGAACGACCTGAGGTCACTGGATTTGGGCTTGAGGTGGATCTTTAATATGGTTTTTGTCACAGAAATCAGGTTGCAGTTGAGGTTTCGTGGATCAGTGCAGCTGAAGCAGAAGGGAGCCTCCTTTTCTAAGGCTCTAACAGCAAAGGCCAGACATGACCTCTAGTTTTATATAGGCTGTGCACAAGGCTTTTTTTTTTTTAATGATTGGGGGGAAAAAAACCTGCAATATTTCATGGTAGGTGAAAATTATTTCATATAAAATTCAAATTCAGTGTTCATACATAAAATCACTGGATCATAGCTACACTCATTCGGTTATGTATTGTCTACAGCTACTTTATAACGTTAAGTAACTGAGATCAAATAACCTGCAAAGCCTCTAAAACATTTACTATGTTAAAAGAAAAAGTTTGCCAGGATTAATTTCAACAAATACATTGTAGGAAGTATAAGGCAGTAGGACTACTTACTTACAAATCTATGACTTGAAAATGGCTGAGAAAACAAAATAGGAGTTGTGTTCTGAATACATACCTAGAGTCTTTAGTGCAGTGGGCGGCTGTGAGGACCCACCTCTTTCTCACCAGGCTTCCCCCACAAATATGTGCAAGAAGACGTCCATTTTGAATCTGCAGGCTAACTAGCCATGGCCATGCTCCAGCTTGGGCATCTGTGCCCCCTACAATCCGAGATCCTCTCAACACATCCCTAAGCGGTGCTGTTCCACAATCTAAAAATAAACATGATACATTATTTGGACTGAGCATCTAGTTACTGTCTAAACCCATAGTATAATCCTTTAAATTCCTATTTTAAAAAATGGATAAAATCAAGCTGGGTGCCTAAGGCATGCTCCTGTTTTTAAAGAATCTTAAAGGAGAGTTACAACAAACGTTGTATTTGATTACTTACAGAAAGACCTGACATCAACACAGTTCATTAGTTTAAAAACTGCATTTTCCGAAGGTATGAAAATTAGATGTTTCTCTGGCCAATGTTCACATTCTCCCATGTGCGAAATAGCATTAAAGAGCCTGGGACTGGTGAGTCAAGAGCTGCAGAATCTAATACTTGCCACTTAACTTGCTGGGCTAACGCGTTCTGTCAACTGCAGTGTGAAAAGGTCACCTAACAGCCCTTTTAACTGTGGATTCCAAATCTCTGAAATGGGAGTGATAAATCCTGGCATGTGTCGAGGAGCAAATATAGAGACCCAACACAAGCGTATGTCTTTTGCTATCACTACTGTCATTATAATTGGACTAGAAACTGCTTACGTTGTTACATTTTCGTTAAAGGCAGTCTGGACAACAGAAAAAGAGAGACCCAAATTCTAACACGAAGCAGTGGGAAAAGGTAAGGGAGGGTCCCCGACAGGAACGAGCAGATACTGCCCTTCGTTGAGTTTGCCTCTTCCTTCTCGGATGCCTTGTGCCACCCGCGCCTCCAGCGCGCAGCCTCGGCCCACCCGGGACCGGCCTGGCCCTTCGAGGGGCCAACCCTGACCCTTTCGGAGAGCAGGTGGTGCTCTGAGTAGGGGAGAGAGCTCCCCACAAACAACAGCGCAGCGCTCAGGAGTCCCAGCCCCATCTTGGAGCGCCTGGTGGGAAATATGGCGGCAGGGGGTGGCTCTGCCCAGGCTGACCGCCCTGAGCTCCGGGCCTTGTGGGGGAGGCGGTGCCGCAGGGGCTGCCGGGAGATAGGCGAGGTGTGGGAGGGGCCGGGAGGCCTGCGGGGAAGTTGCCCGGATGAGGCAGGCCTGGGCATTTACTCCGGTTGAATCTGTTGATTGGGCGGAAGTTTGCCAAGTGTCCAGCCCAGCAAGGCCCTGGGATTTCATTTTTTTCTTGAGTTTTTTTGTTTGTTTGTTTGTTTGTTTGTTTTTGCTGTAGGGCGCATGCGCTCGCCAGAAAGAGAGCGAGACGGAAAGCGAGAAATCACCCCCCAGAGGGGATGGCCACGCCGCAATCCCTTCCCCTCCATTCTCGTCTTGGGATCTTGGGCACGCACGCACACGCGCCCAGTGTGAGTTTAAGACACCGGGTCCAGGACTCGAACCGTGGTCAACTACATGGGAGTCCAGCGACATAGCCATTAACGCTAACTGCTGGTTCCCTGGGGGTTTCTTAAGTGTAAGACTTTACAGGGTACTTTCCGCAGAGCACAGAAAGCTACTACAGTGGACCCGTAGGTGCAGGAGCCACCGAGGCGTTGCTAGCTCAGAGTTAGTGGGGCCAGGGAGGCTTCCAGAAGCTGGGTCATCTTAGCCAGGCATAAGCTGGGGAAAGGGGACTCTAAATGCAGAGTAGATGCAGAAGTTGGGATTTTAAGACAGCATAAACATTGAGGTAACCAAATTTCTGTGTTGTGGATTAAACCCTTATTCAATAGTTTTTGTTGATGATGATTAGTTTGGTATAGGGCTCACGCACTTGCTGGAGACGGTATCACGCCCTAGGAGAGATGGCCACACCCCATCCCTTCTCCATTCTCTTCAGGATTTAGGGCATGCAAACCCACGCTCATGGGGTACTTTTCAAGCTACTGGGTCCAGAACTAGCCCCTCTATCCTTCATACAACCTGCTGGCCCTCTTAGTAGTAGTTTTGAGGTAGTTTGCCATGAGCCAACTTGGGGTTAGCTAATAAAATCTGATTTAAGGACTTGTAAAGTTGAGGATGAAGGTGGCTGATCAGAACTGCACCATCACTTCCTACAAACGCGTGCGTGCAAGCACGCACACACACAGCCTCAGTCCCTAGCCTGAGAGAGGTGTTATTCCTTGTCCCTCTGAGAACTCCTTAGATGTTCCCTGATATTCTGGTTTACTGGGGGAGGGAAGAGGGTTGGGAGAGGCCGGTGAGTGGCCCTGGTTAATCAGTCCATGAAGCAAGTAGATTATCACCCTAATAACATACATATCAAAATAGCACATCGGGGGAGAGTGTTTGACCCTGAGAACTTTTTTTTTTTTTTTGGAGACGTTTTCGCTATAGGGCGCATGCGCTCGCCAGGCAGACAGAGAGAGACATAGAGACAGAAAGCGAGAAATCACCCCCCAGGGGGGATGGTCACACCACAATCCCTTCTCCTCTCAGGATCTTGGGCACGCACGCACACGTGCCCAGCGTGAGTTTTAAGCCACCGGGTCTGGGACTCAAACCGCGGTCGACTACGTGGGAGTCCAGCGACATAGCCATTACGCTAACTGCCGGCTCCCGACCCTGAGAACTTTTATGACTTGGCTAGCAGAGAAAATTGGGACTAACTTCACTTGGCGGAAAAAAATAAATAAATAAACTGTGACACACCCAAGTTCAGGCAAAAGGCTTGGTTGGGGCTGTGGCACTCTAGGGAAGTCTCCCTGCAGGAAGAGGGTGTGAGTAGGCCTAGATTGAGGGAGAAGGTCAAGTGGGGAGTAATAAAGACAGGCTAGACTGCAGGTACAGCAAAAAGCAAGGGCATGGATATGCCTGACAGCAAGCAGTAGTGATGCCAGGAGTCATGAATATCAGTCTGGGACCAGCCCCATGGCCTAGTGGTTAAAGGAGCTGGATCCACATGGCTGACCATGCAGTTTGAATCTTGGCCCCAGTAGCTTGAAAAACTCCCTGTCTACACGTGTGGATGTGTGCCCCACATCCCAACAGGATGGAGAAATGAAGGATTGCTGTGTGACCATGTCCATCTCGGGGTTCTTTCTCCCTCTCCCCCACCACCTTGTGTGTTTCTGTGGTGAATGCATGTGCCCTCTGGCAAAATTTAAAGAAAGGGAAAGGAAAGTCTTGACTCTTCTTGGCAGGTAGGTGTGTGTGGGGAGTCCCAACTGGCACTATTTAGGACTTGCCGTGTACACACTGAGAATATACTTACATTTAATAGTGCAAGATGTATGTATATAATTTTATTGTTATTTTTACTGTTTTCTATCATCTTAGGTCGAAGAGAGAAGCCCATCTTAACATTTTTTATTGTGATATGTAAATGTGTCAAAGGCTTCTTCCTCATTTTTCATTAGCAAAGGTCCCAAATTAAAGCATATGGCCCTTCCCTTTAGCAGAGCCACTTAACATGGTTTGGAACATGCAGCAGTAGGCCTGGAGCCTGCTTTATCATCAGGGGTAGGGTGCTGTTCGCTCAGCGTAATGAGGAGAATTTTGTCAGTGCGGAAATGATAGTGGAGGAGAGGGAGGACAGACACAGGCAGCCCACAAACATGGCAGAAGAACAGGCCTGGCCCAAAAAGATACTGTGAAAATTTGACTGTGGTGGTGATATTCTTTTTTTTCTTGGCTAAACTTCAGACAAGCTCCTGAACTTTCTCCTAGGCCCATCCGTGCACCTCCTTTTAAAATCCAATCTTAGCAAGAACCCCGATTCACTTTACCAAGAGCCCTCCACTCTGCGTATCTGCTACAAAAATGACCAAGGGAACCTCACCACCCTCCGGGATTTTGAGCATGTGAAGGAGCTAAAGTTAGGGCAAAAGCGTGACGCTGGGGGAGAACAGTGTCTGAAACCTGGAGGAGGCCCAGATGGGGCTGAGGTTGCTGGCACCACTGAAGAGTGAAGCCACTATCACTCTCGGCTTCCATGAGGCACTGAGCCTCAGGTCTTAGCAACAGCCGCGACCAGACTGGGCACTGTGAAGGGCTTCCCTTTGAGGAAGGCCCCAGCCCACTAAGGAAAATAGCAGTAATTACAATAATAATGTCATAGAGTAACGAGCACCTCCCACATTTGAAGCCAATTTTCATCCTCAACAATTTGGCACGATCATTACCACCTTTTACAGACAAGAAAACTGAGCCTTACAGAATTTGTTTATTCACTTAGTTGACAAAGTAATGAACATGCAAACCAAAAGCCTTCTTATCTCACCTTTCTAAGTAAAAGCATGGGAGCCAGGGTTATGAAAAATGAGACCTGGGCTTGGTTGGGGCAGGGTATGGGTCTGGAGTAAGGGCAGGATTTATTTATTTTCCCAGATGTCCCCTATCTAGTTGGGACGTGCATGAATTAGTGCTAGAAATTTCTTTTTATTTACTTACTTTCATTTGCTACAGAGTGTGTGCGCTCACTGGAGAGAGAGGGGAGAGAGAAAGAAAGCAAGCGCACCCCAGGGTGGTGACACACCACAATCCCCTCTCAGGATTTTGGGCATGCACATACCTGGCATGTTTTTCCAGATACCTGGTCTAGGCTCAGTGGGCCATGTGGGATCCAGCTACCTTAACCACCATGCCATCTGGCTGGCCTGGTGGTTAATTTATTTTATTTTTAAAATTTTATTTATTTATTTATTTGGTTTTATAACTTTATTTGAAAATCAGCAGTTAGTCCTTATCCACATTGGCTGTAGATTTTTGAAAGTGGTAACAGGTACATAGGTCACAGAGTGTAGAGCTTGTTGGGTGACTCTTCATCCTCGTTTCGTTTTTCTGGACAACCGCACACAGATTCGATGTGGGTCGTTCCTTATTCCTTTGGCCCAGACAGCTTTGTTGGGCCTGGTATCAATGCGCACATCTGGAGTTCCCATCTCTTTCATGGCAAATTCCTGGATTTCTTTGAGTGCCCGAGGGCATGTTTCTTGAAGCCCGCGCCATGGATGCGCTTGTGAATATCGATGGCATATTCCTGGGTCACCACCTCGTTGATGGCAGAATGGCCCTTCTTCTTCTCGCCACCCTTCTTTACGGGAGCCATTCTGCCCACCTAAGTTGAAAAGCAAGATAGTTTTGACCTTGCATATCTCCTGACAGCTTCAGGGACCTAAAGGATCCCAGATCATACTTCAAGGGCTGCTGGTTTAAGTTATTTGATGCTATTACTTAATACTTGCCAATTCCTTATAGAAGCATACTAATAGGTGATGCATCATTTGAAAACACAGTTTCTGAGTTAGGGGGAGGGATTTGTCTTAGGAGCAGCTAAACAGTATGAGAAGTGAACTGTGGTTGACTACATAGGAATTCAGCAACATAGCCATTACACTAACTGCTGGTCCCTAGAAATTTATTTTAATAAAAATATTCTAGCCAGCCCCATAGTCCAGTAGTTAAGGGAGCTGGATCCCATATAGCCAACTGAGGTTCAAATCCCAGCCCCAGCAGCTTGGGTGGGGCCGGCAGGTGGCATTGTGGTTGAGGTGCTGGACTCCCACATGGCTGACTGTGGTTCGAGTCCTAGACCTGGCAGCTTGCTTTCTCATTTTCCCTCCTTCTCTTTTTCTCTCTCTGGTCAAACTAAAATAAATGAATAAATTAAATAAATCTTTAAAAAAAAAAAAATGCTGGGCTGGGCAGTCATGTGTACTTTCTCGCTGCTGCCCATGTCTCCCAGACTCTGGTGAGCACACGTGCCTGTGATAGTTAAAAAAGATTTTAGGGCTGACCCTGTGGCCTACTGGCAGCTAAATCTCACATTGCCAACTGTGGTTTGAATCCTAGCCCTGGTGATTTGAAAAACATGCCAGGTAATGAGTGTGTGTGTGTGTGTGTGTGTGTGTGTGTGCGCACGCCCAAAATCCCAACAGGTTGGCAAAATGGAGAAGAGATTGTGGTATGACCACATCCCATTGGAAGGTGCTTCCTCCAATGCTACACATCCTGTGGGGGAAATAAATTATGTAGTTATTTATTTATTTACCT